TCCCTACTACGAATCAGTATTGTGGTTCATGATATTACTATTTGTTGATTTCAGTTCAATGTGTAAGATTTTGAATATAGTTTATAAACGAAAAGGTTAATGTACATTTCTTGTTATTACTAAGTTTGTCATACTACTCGGTAAGATTAAACTGACATATAGCAATGGATCAGAAATTCAGACAGAGTGAGTCTACAAATGTTAGGAAACTATAATTAATGCCAATCATTACAGAATATACTTTACAACTAAAATAAGCTGTATATTCACTATAAGTCTAACTTACTTAATAAAGAACAGATTTTGTATATAACTGAAGTTGACAATCAGTAAAAAACGAATATATCTATTCTTTCACGTTATATAACCTTACAGAAAGCTAAATGTACATCCATGACATTCTCTTTCTCAAGATTTTGAGATATCATAAGGAAGCCACTTTCAGTTTGTAAGTTACTACTTTTTGTTTTTGATCTAGAACTCACATATTTGTAGTTTAAAACTACTGTTGTTTACAAGTATAACTCATCAAGATTTATACATAGTCTAACTTCTTCAGCATGTAATCATTTAAACACATAAAGAAATAACAATATTGTCCAACTTACAATTAGGGTCGTGTTCTTCAAATTTGCCTGAGAGGCAAATTTCGTTGACAAGTTGACAGCTTGAAAACCTTTGATAGTTAGGAATAACACAAACTGAAACATGATTGGATTATACAATACTGGATTGCCAAGATTAAATTAACTGTCATACAAGTCTGGTACATATCAGTTAATGTATAATTCTTGTATACTTTCTACTCAATTAGATCTATGAACTGAATGTTTCTAATGCCTATTAACCTTTTCGAGACAGATCATGGGTGAAAGGCCACATCATCTTGTTTGTTGACTCACATTCAAAATTTTATAGAACTACTATTTCATGAATTTATGTCAATAACTTTGGTATCAAACTATAGATTATAATTCAAATTTTAGTACTATATATTACGTAATTTCTTAATTTAAAAACAAATATTAAAAAAACACAGATAAACATCAAATTTTAGTGACACGTGGTATGTTGAATGCAGCACTGGTTCAAATTAGATGTTTGTGAAGTCAAAATACTAAGTCTGTAGTATTATACAAATTAGAAACTCAAATTACCAATCGTAACAAGCCAGAATATAAAATAAAAGCCACTTATCTTTTCAATTTGCTAAGATATTGCTCATGTAATATATCACACACAGTGGCACCCTGCCCACCTCTTTCCATTTTTGGAAATGCTCCCTTATTTACACTTACTTCTATATATGACATGAATAACCAATCGGAAGCTCAGAATGTCTTTCTAGTGGCTCCCTCAGCCATTGTAATGGTGCCATTACTTTTTTTTGAACAAATATTTCAATGAGGTAGGGTGTCTTTAGTCTGCTTGAATTTTCATATTTGTTTAGACTAAAATACATCTTAGTTACTAAGCTTGATAAATTATAGTGGAATTCTGTGATATTAATGTAGTAATTTATGATTTTTTTAATTATTTGATTGTATATATAAAACATTAAAAAAATATTTTGTTTCATATCCTCCACACGCAAATTTTTTAAAGGCTTAGCAACCTATGTCAAGCAGCAACCGAGTACAAAGGTCGTAACCAGAAGAAATAGTTGTTTGCTTTACCTCTTTAGCTACTGTTCTGTGTTTTAAGAAAAATAAGTTTAAGAACTTATTTCAAAATAGCAATTATCTA